TTCGAAACCCTAAACCCTAAACCCTAAACCCTAAACCAAGCCTGGGTCCTTCGTGATGGAAGCGAGCTCAAGTTGCCCGGATAGGGATATTTCGGCCCTAAACCCTAAACCCTGAACCCTAGAATATGGCTTCTTGTTGCATCTTAGGCTCTCCGAGTGGGTGCATCGGGTGTTCCCCATCTCCTCCGAAGGAACTGGCTCCTCAGCCCGGTTTAGGATTGAGGTTTCAGGGGTTTTCAGGTTTTAGGGTTTGGGGTTTCGTGTTGAGCTATTCTTTAGGGTTCCTGATTATACCCAAGATTATGCAGCATGAGTGTGGCCCAAAACCCTATTCTGGTGATGAAGGCCCCTCTACCCTTAAATCCTTGTAGCAGAGCCGTTCTGAAACCTCTTTAAACCCCAGACTCTACATCCTAAACTCTAAACCCTAAACCCTAACCCCTAGACCCTAAATCCCAAACCCTAAACCCTAAATCCCGAACCCTAAACCCCTAAACCCTTCACCACCAACATGAGGCACAGCATGGACGACCTCATTGCTGCCGGGCCAGAGGAAATATCCGAGGCGGCGACTGGCACATTTAGGGCTTTGGGGCTTTGGCGGGGGGTGTAGGATTTAGGGTTTAGGGTGTAGGGTGTAGGTTTAGGGTGTAGGGTTTAGGGTTTTAAGGGTTTAGGGGTTTAGGGTTTAGGGTTCAGGGTTTCGGGTTTAGGGGCTTAGGGTATAGGGTTTAGGGTGTAGGGTTTCTATATTCCCAGCACATCTCTGAGCACCCCTCATTTACAATCTTTCAAACCACAAAAAACAAGCTTTTCGACGTGACACCCCATTGGTACATATTTACATCACACGCAAAACTAAACCCTAAACCCCCAAACCCTGATTCAGAACTCAAACGAATGAGGGCCCTGAAATCCGAAGATGAGCCCCTAGAGGCTCAAAATCCCTGAGTCAAGCACATTACAATAGGTGCCTGAATAATTAAGATCCATAAACGACCGTAAAGATGCACAAATAGTTGGGGATGCAATTATGATATTGAGGTATACTACTGATGTAAAGAAGATACCTATAAGTTAGGCTTATAAGAAAAAGGAACCCCACTAAAATGTTGGTCATTGAAGAGTAAATTCCTTATTTGCAAATCCTCACCCTAAGCTTTACACTCTAAACTCCAAGCCCTAAACCTTAAAATTTAAAACCCTTAGCCCCAAACCCTAAGCCTTATCAAAAAGGAGGTTCTTGGAGCGCTGAGGCCTGAGCCCAAGGACTCGGAAAGCTCCACCAGGAGAGCGCTGAGATCTCGGCAGCCAGAGGAGAACAATCCAGCACAATCCAGCCTAGCCTGCGTCCGAAACGAGGCACTTCCAGTACAATGTTGTATACAATCCAGCACAATCCAGCCAGGACGCCAAACGAGGCACTTCCAAAACTAATGTTGTTCTACACAATGGGCTTATTCTTATTATGTTTGTTATTATTACTATTATTATTACTAGTCTTATTATTACTATTATTGGTATGAGTATTAGTATTAGTATTAGTATTAGTATTAGTATTAGTATTAGTATTAGTATTAGTATTAGTATTAGTATTAGTATTAGTATGAGTATTTGTATTAATACAAGAACCTTGTTCTTACCATTCTCATTATTACTATTGGTATTATTGCCGTACGGCCTCCACGATGAACCCTACGCCCTAAACCCTATACCCCAAGATGGTGCCTGCAAGTTTCGGCTTCCTGAAAATGAGCTTCAAGCTTGTCAGCTTCCTGAACATGAGCTTCACGCTTGTCAGGACAGGAGGACGGCTTACCGTACTGCCTTGCACAGTCTTCATGTATAAGCCCGAAGATAGACTTTAGGACCTCCCTTCCAGCAAAATAAGTTTTCGTTGGCTGTGGCAGGGCCGAATCTCTGGCCCCAAACCCCAAAACCAAACGCCAAACCCTGAACCCTCAGGATTTATGGCCCTAACCCTAAAACCCAAATCCTGGAACGGGACACATGCTCGCATGCTTGGTGTGGTCTTGTTGATTTGCTGAGCAGCCAGGAAACCAAATAAGTTGTCCAGATCATCTTATTTGGAGGTTCATGGGTAGTTATAAGTGGGGTTATAAGCCCCTTTATAAGCCCCTTAATATGGGTTTACAAGTATAGTTACCCTACTTACTGGGGGATCCTTATTGAAAGTATAGTATAATGGGCCCCAAAACCCTATTCTAATCACTGAGGCCCCTATATTATCTCACAGTTACAAGCTGTCCCTGCCGCAGTATGGTTTACTTATTATGGCCGTTCAGACCTTCAGGACCACATATGAATGTTAGTTTAATTAATGTTGATTATAACCTATGGTTATAGCATATATATATATATAATACACTTGGGGGTTCATGGGTAGTTGCAAGTGGGGTCATAAGTCCCGTAATATGGGTTGATAAGGCCCCTGCATTAAATCCCCAAGGGCTTTGGATGCCAGAACTGGGCCAGAATCCTAGGCCTTGTTGCTCCAAGTGGCAGCTGTCGCTCATGGATGGGCATATGGGTTATAAGTATAGTTACTTTACTTATAACCCCATGTATAATTACCGACGAACCCCCCAAGCAACCATTGTGGTTGTTATGAGATCTACATCCCCGCTTATTTCTTCGCCGACCTTGGGGAGCAAACTGTGCGGGTATGTTTGACGCGGGTTTTGAGTTTAGTGAGATTTATTTAGGGGTTTAGGGGTTTAGGGTTTAAGGGTTTAGGGTTTAGGGGTTTGGGGTCTACCAGCACCCGCCAACTACCCTCTATAATGCCCTAAATGCCCACGATTAAGGACCACAAGGGCTTTATTTAAGGGTCTAAACCCTAAACCCTAAACCCTAAACCCTACTTGGGGGGTGCTGGTAGGGTTGAGGGTTTAGGATCTCAGCCACGGTGCCGGCATCGGCCGAGTTGGCCAACCGCGTGGCGTGGGCCTTGTCGCATCCTAAGCCCCTACTTGGAGGTTCATGGGTAGTTATAATTGGGGTTTAGGGTTTAGGGTTTGGGGTTTAGGGGTAGTTATAATTGGGGTTAGAAGTGGAGTAACTATACTTATAACCCATATTAGGGGACCTATAACCCCACTTATAACTACCCCTGAACCTCCAAGTAGCAGCAAAAATCGCTGCATGGCTCCAACAAGCCAGGGAAATAAAATGTTAAACTTTCAGATGACTACTACTAAGTTATAAGAAGCCAAAAAGTTTAAAGGTTGGGAATTAGGGAACTAAGTGCAGGACAAGACTATAACGTACTTTCACAAGGAATCTATGTAGCCGAATCTAGCCCCACACAGCCCAGAAATGCCCAGAACTACGACCTCAGGGCTAGTGTCCATGAGTGAGCATGGGTTTAGGGTTTAGGGTTTAGAGAGACGTGGAGGTTCATGGGTTGTTTTTTGTGGGGTTATAAGTCCCCTGATATGGGTTCTAAGTATAGTTACCCTACTTCTAACCCCATTTATAACTTTTCATGAACCCCCAAGTAGGACAAGCATGAACAGCCATACAAAGACAGTGAAACAACAACCGTAGAATCAGTTCTGTGTGTTGAGCGACTCTTCAACAGATGTTGTAGACCGGGCAGGGAAGCTTGCTTACAGCATATAAAATATGAAAGTTATGCTGCTATGCTCTATATACATATACAAATATAACACGCATATAATGTACATATACATCTCTGTATACATATTCAACATATACACCTACCTACCTAGCTACCTACCTATCTGCCTGCCCTACCTCGCTCCCTCCCTCTACCTACCTACCTACCTACCTGCCTGCCTACCTACCTACCTACGTACCTTCCTACCATTTCCTACCTACCTACCTACCTACCTACCTACCTACCTACCTACCTACCTACCTACCTACCTGGACCTACCTACATGGACCTACCTATCTACCTACCTACCTACCTACCTACCTACCTACCTACCTACCTACCTACCTACCGACCGACCAGTTGAGTCTTCCAGGGG